CTTATCCAATATACCCTCATTTTCCCGTGGCAGTCCAAATTTCCCCTACCTTCATCCCGGACGGCCTCTATTACAGGACCTACCTATTGTATTTATTGTTAACTTTTTAGTTATCTTGTATTCTGTTAAGGATGTTTGCTTCTCTGTTTTAAAATAACAATCTTTTTAAAAGATTGTTATAAATTGATAGTAAAAAAAAAAACTAGAAAAGCAGAAAAAAATATCAAATTATTGAAAAAAAAGTAGGGTTAGTGGGCAAAATTTTAAAATGGTACTGCATGGATATAACCAGAGGATTCCGAATATCTGACAAAAACTCAAAAACAAAAGGAACGAACATCCTTAAACCTATTAACACCCTTATAATGAATGATAATACACAGGGCGGATCCAGGGTATCAGATCATTACGGCCCCAAACTGATCCGGCCCAAGTCGATCGAGTTCATATATATCTTTATTCCTTATGAAATTTTTTTTAGGGGGCCGGGTTGACTTTAAATATGGAGCCGGATTGACGTGAGAGCGGACCCAGCCATATTTAAAAGGGGGTTCCAGCACAGGATAAAAAGGGGGCTCCAACCATAAGTCACCATACAATAGCATTAGTCTTCAAAAAAAAAAACCCAGACACCCTCTTTTTTTGATCTGCCACAGATATACAACATACCAGAGAATATTTTAAAGAAATTCAGTACTGATTAGGTTTTAATACTGTACAATATCATATCATAACATGTTAATGTAACAATATGAAAGAAACAATAGAAAATTCCATATATGATCATCATCATTTATAATTTTGAACTTTGTGGTTAATAAAAATGAATGGTCTCATCATCATGATCATGCTCATAAATCCATACTTTCGTGTCCTGTCTCACCTTCTTTCACAGCCTTAAATATCATTATGTATGGCTGAACTTAACAATACCGGATTGTTACTTTTTCTTGATATTCTTTATACTTTGTTTGATTTAATTCCATTTGTGTTTTACAACCAAATTAATAGCACATACGTGTACATGCAGATACTGACACACATAAAGAACGGGACAAATATATGTAGATTTAGGAAAACAGTACATGTACTAAACATTTAATTTTTAACTATACCTCCACTATCATGACTGAAGAAAGATGGGTTACTATTTCACCTGTGTATATCAGTCCCCCACATTTTTTTTATAACAAACTTTACATGTTTTTAACAAGCTTCAACCAGGTTGGTTCTGTGTACAAAATGTAAAAACAAAGACAAAAGACAAAATTTTTATATTTACTTTATTTTAAAACAAAGACAAAATCCCTGAGACCTTCCTGATGACAGTAACTTCGATATGACCTATGGATTTAAATTTAAAAGAATAGACAAGACAAAATTGTTGTGCTGATATTTAGAGTAATTATATATGTATATATATCTAATAAAAACTGTAAATACGATCTTCTCATTTCATTTTTAGGCCTAGACTGTTAATAAAGAAAAATCTTAATATGCAATTCAAGTTCAATCTAAAATGGTCATCAGGAAAGTTTCGACCCATTCACACATGTATGCATTTGCGTATTCAATTTATGACAAATTTTCAAATGAATACATGTATGGTAGAACATAAATGCTGCTCAACAAGATTTATAAATTAAGAACCGTGAAAAGATAAGTCTTTGTCAATTTCTTTTGCCTCATCAGTGCCTCTTATTTAGATCTATCCTGTTTATTGACAATGGTTTACAGAGTTAAATTCAGAACCTTACTACACGGATGATGATTTTTACTTTCGTCTAGTGAAATTCCTATTTCAAAGTACTATTATACATGTACATTATATTGGTATATATGTCATCAGCATGCTACAGAATATCTGTTTTGGCAATGAATACAGACATGACAGATATGATTTCTTAACCATTTCACTTTCAGCATTTATGGGAGTTCCTTATGTCAAAGCTTAGGAATCTGTTTTTTTTTTTAATTCTTAAATGTTACTTAATATAATGCAGAACAATATAATATAAGGCCAACAAATCCTAAACTGTGCCAGTCTCTAATCTAGACATTTTGCAATCAATGTACCTAAAAAAAAGATGATTCTTAATGTTATGCAGCACTAAATGTTGTACAAAGTTCCTGACTGGGTCTCCCATTTCCCGATTTTACAATCAAACAATCTGCCAATGGGAACACAATGTGTTCTTCAGTCAGGGAACAGGAACTTTAAATAGGTTGAAAACATTAAATATACAGTAAAGAAGAGATAATTACATACACAGTCTTCCAAATATAAAACATAAAATCATAATTTATAATGTTTAAACAATTAAAAAGCATCTGCACCCATAATTCATGTAAATATAATGTTGCACTTGACACCAGGATCAAACACACAAACAATATGAGCAATCCAGCACCAAACGTTATCCCGTACCAATGGTGCTGGCAGCTGCTTACATGTATTTCTATGTTCAATCAGAATTAGACAACCTAAAAGTGGAAAAAAGAAGGAATAAATATCAACATAGCTTCATTTACTTAACAACAGACAATTAAAAGTGCAACCATTTCTTACAACATCTACACACACTTGACAATTATTCACTTTCACCACGCATCTATATGCATTAAATTAAAGTACTGATATTGCATTATCTATAAACAATATTGTTCTACTGTACTTCCACTTGCCATACTGGGCAACATAATCAAACATAGAATCATTATAAACAAAACAGCACAAATTTTATCCCATACCAGGGGTGCTGTTAGTTGCTTACGTGTATTTCTCTATATTCAATCAAAAAGAGACATGATTTAAGTGGAAGTAAAGAAGAAATAACTTACTCATTTTCCATGTTTACTGGAATACAGACATATTAATTTAAAATCTATACAATCATTTCATACAACAACTACACACTTGACAATTATTCACAACTTCACAACAGGCATATATCTGCATAATGTACAAATTTTACATTATCTATTAATATATATTGTTCTACTGTACTTCCACTTGCCATCATGGGCAACATGATCAAACATAGTATCAATATAAACAATACAGCACAAAACGTTATCCCGTACCAGGGGTGCTGTCAGTTGCTTACGTGTATTTCCCTATATTCAATCAAAAAGAGACATGACTAAAGTGGAAATAAAGAAGAAATTACATACTCATTTTCAATGTTCATATTAATTTAAAAACTATACAATCATTTCGTACAACAACTACACACTTGACAATTATTCACAACTTTACGTATAATAAGAAATCAAACTTGTTCATTATGTTTTTTAACTGGATAAAGAAGTTTATCTGCCTCAGTTATGGTTAAATTTCTGTTTCTATCCAATATACCCTCATATCCCGTGGCAGTCTAAATTTTTCCGACCTTAATCCCAAACGCCTCTTACAGAACCTACCTATTGTATTTATTGTTAATGTGTTCTCGTCCTGAATATGCATGAAATATTTGCCACTGGACGTTAAGCAACCAACAATCAATCAATCTTTGAAACAAATCAGTGTATCATATTTAAGCAGTAAATGATTAAGGAATGTTCCATTCATAAATGCATGTTGCACAAGGATAAACTTTCAATTGCGGCTATAACCACCTTATAGAAAAGTGTAATTGATTCAAGTGTTTCTATCTATTTCACCAAAGTTACAAACAACAGTGGTAATTTCAAACTGCCTTCAAGGCGGGGTTCATTATTCAGCAGGTTTTAGTCCTTTTCTAAAACAATTTTTGAATTACATAGAAAATGCTAAAATACTATTAGAACCAACAATTTGTTATGATATAATTAAGGAATCAACCTTAAAATGTTTACCAAGCAAAAATGACTTCACAAATTACAGGTTTCTGAAAAATTATTGCCAAGTCAACATATTTGATTTCTTAATTCATGTATACTTACATGTGGAACTTTTAATTATTTGAAGTACAATAAAAAAAACAATAGCATTTTCAAGAAAAAGTTGGACTGTTCCTTACATCTATCTAGACGGTCCCTTTCAAAAGAGCACATTTCCCAACTAAATAAGACTCATATGTGTCTTGGGTGATTGGCAGCTAATGGTGAGTTTCAATTCCTTTTGAACTCACACACTTATTGAAATTTCATACATTATTGTATGTAAAAACATGTTATTTAAGTAGCATTTTTGTAAGTTAACTGATACTTTTGGTTGTATCTGTTCTCCTTTTCACCCCCAAGGGTGACTGGGTAATAGAAGTATGGTCACCATTGGTTTTCCTCCGACCGGCAGTAAAACCCTTGCTAAAGTGGGGCGTCCGTTTGGCTGTGCGGGATGTACAAATTTGCAGCCACGTCCGGTCAGAATGGGGACGTTAAATCCGATGCCTCGTGTAAAGAGAGTGCTACGCTCTTTGCACGTTAAGAACCCTTGCATCAACTCTTTGAGGGGTCCGTAGGTGACCTGTTGCAGGGCTAAATTTCTGTCCCTATCCAATATACCCTCATTTCCCGTGGCAGTCTATATTTCTCCGACCTTAATCACGGACGCCCCTATTACAGAACCTACCTATTGTATTTATTGTTAATTTCAATTAATATTCAAGTTTTTGCTTATATATCATATAATTTCTCAACTAAAAATACATAGGTACTTACCCTAGGACAACTCAACCAAGTCTTTTCAAACCATTTGCGTAGCTTTTCCATCTCATTCCACACAGAACTTGACTGAAATATGACTTCATGAGTTAAAATTGTATCATAAAAACAAACAACAGGTTTACAGTGAAATCAAAAAAGCTTAATATACTCAAACTAGTAATAGGGAACTATGTTGACACACATTTTATTTTGTCATTCTTGTCCTCATACTTCTAAATTTTCTTGTCTGGTATAGTACTGGTGTTGCAATTTCAAGCATTTTCATTATCTGTTTAAAAACTGTCACTTTATTTTTTCATACTCATGTGAAAATTGCAAAGGTTAACCATATGCGAAAATAAATGGGTTTACAATAAGTTATTATATTAAGTTCATTGTTTTTTCCAGAATTTGTAAGTGTTTTATGAACACCATATTTGAATATGTCTGAGAATAAGCTTATCTTATTTTAATACCTTTAATGTAGACAAGGCATAATTATAATCATCTTCATTAAGTGCCCTAGCAATAGGTCTTAGAAGTGGAAGAACATTGGTCTTCTCTGTGTGCAGTCCATTATGTGCTGCAGTAAGCCATCTTTCCCAACTCTGCTCTCGGTGAAAATCACAAAGGTATACAAAAGAACCTAAAATGGAAGTGTTATATTACAGAAAAGTTACCTCTGATTAATCTTGCATCATTAACATATATAATAGTTATCCAGATTTAGAGTAATTTCTCCCAATTAGATTGGCTGATATTGTCTTAATAAATTACAGTGTAATTTTTTTTAGCTGCTTAATAGTCTTAATATTTTTAATTTATTTTCAGTTTTAGATTTAATCTCAAAATCTAATTGGTTGAATTTAAAACTGTCCTAATAATTTCGAGCAGAGTATAATTAATATTTATGGTAAAAACCGTCATTTTTTTATTTGGAGTGGACGTCTTAAAATTTTTGTGAACCTGTGTGTTTTATTGACGTCATAAATAAAACTTTACGTAAACGCATTGTCAACATCATAAACAAGGCGATATACGGTCAGTGACTGTATATGACATATGATTATACAGTCAATGCAATTTTACTGCGCAAATCATAAGCACAGCTGCAGTATATAATTCTCGTATTAGGACAATTGCACACTGTGTAACTTATTGTGTTGGATTAGACCAATCTAATGGTAACTTTGAAAATATTATATATCAATGTTATCTTTGCAAAACAATCAAAATCACAATAATTAAAGTACCTATAACATGTATTTTTTCTAACACATTCTTTGCATCAATTGTAAGAAGTATATTTTATAGGCTGATATAAATTCGGCATATATAAAGTAATAGAAAGTTTAACTTGCAAACCTGGAAAAACGTTTTCAAGGGCATTGATTTCTTCAGTGGCATAGTCACACATAAAGAACTTGGGTAACCACTCGGGATTCCATTCTTTTATAACCTGCAAGGCCTCCATCAGTGAAGCGCTGTCCTTGGTCTCTGTAACAAAGGTTCCAACAGTAATGTAATTTACGTTCGTAGGCACACATAGGAAATATAATGGGACAGAATATCTGGTTGACCTATATGTAGCATCCAAAAGGCATATCTCTTTCCCATACAGCTCAAGAAGTCTTCTCTGCCATTGAGTTTGGTGTACAAACAGGAACTTACTGTTTGTACCATACAGCTTCCTAGTGTAGGCCTCCCCTATTCTTACATCATCCTCTGCCTCTTGCTCATCACCATGATTCAATTCCAAGTCTGAGTCTGAAATTAAAATTGAAGTATATAGACTACATGTTTGTGTCCTTTTTCAGAAATTTTGTCTTATTTAAACACCCACAATATGGAAGCATCTAATATTCATACATGTTATATAAACTTCACATAATGTCATAGTCCAATATCAATGCTCTTTACAACTACATAATTCTTATATGATTTGCATATTAGGGAATACGTTGATATGATTGGTCGCGAGGACTTCCAGTAGATGTTCTTGACGTTGTTTATTTTTAGATAGACAACGTTGACCAAACTTCTTTTTATAACCAATGTAAACAAGATGGCGGCGATAATTACACAATCCGGCTCGACTTTACCATATTTATTTTCATTTCGCTTTAATCGTTAATTTAGATAATAAACACACAACATTTATTTGCATGATAAAGAAGAGTTTTTGTAGTAAATTTATATAAGAGTGCAAATTTCATGGAGTACATATTTTTGCGGTAACCAACAAATATATTCATGAGCCAGGCCAATTCAATGACTCACATATACAATTTACGAGTGTGGAAAAATAAATTCCTTTTCTCCTATTTTAAGAATAATAAGGATTAAACGCCTTTTTAAAGGAATTTATTGGCGTATAAACTCGACCAATTCACTCACAAACATGTTTGTGAGTGAATTGGTTGAGTTTATACACCAATAAATTCCTTTAAAAAGGCGTTTTATCCTATAATGGAGAGGAAAAAGAGACATAGAATTATACTTATTTTGACTAAACAATTTTTATATTATTTCCTGTTTGTATCCAATCTGAACTTAGCATACAGTAACACACAAAAGATTAACATCTTTAAAGACAATATAAATATAATAATTTGTTACACCTACTGTCCTTATCTTGTTCCAGATGATCTCGCTACAGACGAAGATGGAAGTTGTCTTCAGGGCGCTCATTTTTCCATTTTTCAACTTTAAGATAAGTCCAGAAATTAAATTTATAGAAACAAAATCTTCCTTCGAAAAACGTTTTTGCAGCTTATGTAGGTCAGCAAGGACTTCGGAATTGAAAGAAAATTGGATTTGATTACCTTCACTCTTTAGTTTCACGGACGCTTCCTTTTTCAACTTAGTGGCTATGGAGTCGTTGCCCGACACTAACTCGTTCTTCAATGCAGATATTTTAGAATCGAAGTACGACGTAAACAGTTGAAAAGTGCTGTCACTTATTTGTTGCTGTGGCGCTGTTTGCTGGGTTGCTGTCGACGGTACTGGTATAGGCAAACTAGGAAATGCAGCTTCTCTTATGAACGACAGGAGTTGTAGACTCGTGTAGTAGTAATTCGTCTTCGTCTTCGGAACGGTGATCTGTCATGGTTAATACAGACAAGGCAGTAGTACGGCGTTTGCTACTCAGCGTAAGGCAGAACTTCGAATAATAACATTATAAATTACATTTAATTTATATCAAACAGCAAGCACGAGAAACACGAGCCAAAATCATACGATACATAGAATACCTGTTTTAAATTCGCAATGCGACGAATTTCATCCAATGGAATACATTGTAAACATTACAGGTATTCTAAAAACATGTTCCCCAAGGGTGACTGGGGAATAGAAGTATGGTCACCTTTGGTCTTCCTCCGACCGGCGGTAAAACCCTCGCTAAAGTGGGGCGTCCGTTTGGCTGTGCGGGATGTACAAATTTGCAGCCACGTCCGGTCAGAATGGGGACGTTAAATCCGATGTCTCGTGTAAAGAGAATGCCACGCTCTTTGCACGTTAAGAACCCTTGCAACAACTCTTTGAGGGGTCCGTAGGTGACCTGTTGCAAGGCTAAATTTCTGTCCCTATCCAATATACCCTCATTTCCCGTGGCAGTCTAAATTTCTCCGACCTTAATCCCTTAATCTATTACAGAACCTACCTATTGTATTTATTGTGATCTTGTTCTCGTCCTGAATATGCATGAAATATTTGCCACTGGACGTTAAGCAACCAACAATCAATCAATCTAAAAACATGTGTTGATGTAAACAAACACACGTGTTTTACCAAAACATATACATGTGCTCCCGTACTATTATTAAATATATTGATGTCAGTAGTTACCACGTGTTACCGGAAGCATGGTTTGTTGTGATCATATGAGGCGTCCACCACGTGTTTATGTTTATCAACAAAAGACTACATGTGCGTGTGACCGGATGTTTATATTCTACACCAAAGGACAACACTACAGTTCATTATATATGTTCCGGAAGTTACTTTAAATAGTAATCGAACTTTTTGATTTCCAATTTTGGAAATAGGACTTAGTTATTTTGTGATTGTGATTTTGAAATTAATTTAATTTTGATATCATATTTATCAGAAATTAATACTTTGTGCATATATATTAGCAGATTAAAATTACATTGAAGGTAAATCATTTATATATTATTCCTGTATACATTTGAATGTTTTATTTCTGATTTAAACATTACAAACATTTAGTTAAATTTAGTTTACACATACACTAGTATACACCCCCCAAGGGTGACTGGGGAATAGAAGTATGGTCACCATTGGTCTTCCTCCGACCGGCAGTAAAACCCGTGCTAAAGTGGGGCGTCCGTTTGGCTGTGCGGGATGTACAAATTTGCAGCCACGTCCGGTCAGAATGGGGACGTTAAATCCGATGCCTCGTGTAAAGAGAGTGCCACGCTCTTTACACGTTAAGAACCCTTGCAACAACTATTTGAGGGGTCCGTAGGTGACCTGTTGCAAGGCTAAATTTCTGTCCCTATCCAATATACCCTCATTTCCCGTGGTAGTCTAAATTTCTCCGACCTTTATCCCTTAATCTATTACAGAACCTACCTATTGTATTTATTGTGAACTTGTTCTCGTCCTGAATATGCATGGAATATTTGCCACTGGACGTTAAGCAACCAACAATCAATCAATCAATCACTAGTATACATATACAGTACTTAGTATTTGTTGATAGCATACATTGATACTTTGATAGTCGATTACACGTACACATATTAGCATCACACTACAGTTGATACCTGATTTAACTTACACATCCGTGCATACTTAGGTGCATCTGTACTTAGGTACATTCATACTGAGGTACATCCATACATGTTTACATTCATACTTAGATATTTGGTTGATACATACATGACTTAGTATCACTTACTGTTATAACTTACCTAGTTGATTTAGTACAATACACAACTTATACTACGCACATAGAAGTTCATACTTGGAACTTAGTAGTTGTAGTTGTGCATTGATATAATAAATACACAGTTAGGATTTTCATTTTTATTTTTTGTATACAGAGATAGTATATGATATCTATGTTGGCTGACTCACAAGTAGCCACGAGGTTATGAAACACAGAACCATGTCATATTATTGAATAATATGTGGTAATACTTAGATTTTGAAATTGAATATGAGACATTGTATATACATATTTTTTAAACATACTTGGATATTGTTATACCTTGAGTAAAACATATAGGTTTGATTGTTCATGTTCATATGATTACATACTGGTGATTATTTTGTAAATTGTTTGTATACATACAGAGAATGTGATATAATATTGGTGTAATATTGTAATATAGCAATAATTTGTCATTATTGTTATGTGATAACTATATTGTTATAATATCCCTTGACTGATTGAATATTTGAATAGAAGTGATTTATTTAATACTAATATACTTATACTGATTTTCCTTTGACATTACTTAGACCTTAGACTTATTCATTGATAGTTTAGTATCGTCGAGTGAGATATTTGTAGTTTGATTAATATTCTGTAGTTACACTACACTTGGTCTTTATTGTTTGTAGTTACACTTTGATCATTTGAGATTTGAGGGACTATTGTTCATACTGTGTATTGTGTTAGATTGGTACAGTTTGGAAGTTAGTTTGTTCAATATGAATTGAGCATACTAGGATTGTACTTATTCGACAAGTCTCTACGTATAACTTGACTCATGGATCTGAATCTGACGGCTATCAACTTATACTATACGATGGTCTATTATGTATATATTAAGGTACAAGCCCTGTTCGTCCGTTGTACTAATATATATCATATGTTCATTTATATATAAAAAATAGACATATAAATGAAACCCATTGGTAGCCAAGAGGTTTCGTCGATGTGTTGATGTCAGTCGCACACAACAGATTTCAAGGAGGGTTAGATTCCCAGTGAAGGCATATAAGAATTACAAAAAATAAAGGCAAGTTTTTAAATTAATTTCATTAGTGAACAGAAATCATAAAGTTGAGAATGGAAATAGGGAATATGTCAAAGAGACAACAACCCGACCAAAGAGCAGACAAAAGCCGAAGGCAACCAATGGGTCTTCAATGCAGCGAGAAAATCCCGCAACCGGAGGTGGTCCTCAGCTGGCCCCTAAATAAAATTGTGTGCTAGTTCAGTGAAAATGGACGTCACACTTAACTCCAAAACATATAAATGAACTAAAATTAAAAAACATAGACTAACAAAGGCCAGAGGCTCCTGACTTGGGACAGGCGCAAAAATGCGGCGGGGTTAAACATGTTTTGTGAGATCTCAACCCTCCCCCTATACCTTTAGCCAATGTAGAATAAAGAAACACATAGCAATACGCACAGTAAAACTCAGTTTTAAAGATTAAAAGAAGTCAGAGTCCGATGTCAGAATAGGTAACAAAAGAAACTAAGCAAAATGACAATGATACATAAATGAACAAAGGACTACTAGCAGTTACTGACATGCCAGCTCCAGACCTCAATTAAACTGATTAAAAGATTATGTCTTCATCATATGAAAATCAAGTACAATCCCTCCCGTTAGGGGTTTAGTATCATACCATCATTAAATATATGAGAAGAACATAGCCCGTATCATGCCAACAACTGGTTTTAGAATAAATGTGTTTATTTCCGATGCAGAGCCACCATGAGTGAATCAATATTAATACCAAAATGTGCAATCCTTAATGATTTGACAACAGTATCGTAACTATATCCTTTCTGCATAAGTCTGTTTAAAGGTTTGGTTAGCTTTTGAGGTGAATGCCGACATTCTTGTACTTTGTAAATAATATTACCATAAAATATTGGATGTGAAATACCTGAACATATAAGATGTCTGCATGTTGATTTATATTTACGAATGATTTCCTTGTACCGATGATAAAATTTAGTAATTGTTTTGGCTAGTTTGTGATATCGAAAACCCTGGTGTAATAATTTTTCAGTAATACAGAGATGTCTTTCGTTGAAATCAAATACGTTGTTACATACACGAGCGAATCGAACAAAAAAATGAATAATTAACAATAGGAAATGAAAAATCATCTCTTTTATCATAAATTTTGGTATTAAGCTTCCCGTTAAAGATAAAGATATCAAGATCCAGGAAAGGGCAGTGTTCATTGTTAGTATTAGCTTTATTTGAAGTCAGTTCGGCAGGATAAATCTCTTTAGTGTACATACTGAAGTCGTCATTATTGAGAGCCAATATATCATCTAAATATCTAAAAATGTTATTACATTTTTGAATCAGATGTTGTTTCGATGGGTCTTTGCTGATTTTAGTCATAAATTGTAACTCATAACAATACAGAAACAGGTCCGCAATAAGTGATGCACAGTTAGTCCCCAGTTATAGTATCAAAGCAGGTACCAAAAAAAAAGTAAAATCACAAAAATACTGAACTCCGAGGAAAATTCAAAACGGAAAGTCCCTAATCAAATGATAAAACACATCAAACGAATGGACAACAACTGTCATATTCCTGACTTGGTACAGGCATTTTCAAATGTAGAAAATGGTGGATTGAACCTGGTTGTATAGCGATTTACATAGTTCTTTTGTTTGTTGTTACCAACAAATTTACCTAAAAGAGTTTGAACATATATATTCGCATTCCGACTTTTTAAATGCCCATTTA